AGCTGGCAGATGGGATGGAGCATGACTCTCCCTTTTCGCAACAGCAGAGTATCAGCTGGCTCAACTCCACATGAAACTGCAGCCTTTATCACACTGCTCTCAATGGGATCACTTGTATGGTGCAGGGCAACACAGATACCTTACCACTTGAGTACAGGTCAGAGCAGAGAATCAGATTCTTTCTGTCCCAAAGAAACATGGTATAAATCAGAAATTATTCTGTGCACACAATGACAAAAAAAAAGCACTGTCCAAAGAAAAGAGCTTGCACATTGCCTGCCAAAAAGAAAGCCTAAGACATCCTCAGTGAATGAGGCACTGAAACAATTTTCTAACTACCCACCTGTTGACAATATTATTACTACACATAGTAGCAGAAGGACAGAGGACAACGTTGACTGTAAGGGGAGCTGACAATCCTCATCATGTAAACACCAAGCTCATCAGATCTGAAGGTCATATCACTAACTTCCTTGACTTAACTCACAAACAAGCTAATTGTTTTGGAGGGTCTAGATATCCCTCTTGTACAAACTACAACATCTGGCAGACAGAAACCGAGCAGGTAGTTTCATGACTGGTGTTGAAGGGAAGAGTCATATGTGCTCAAATACTACTGTCACTTTGAATCACAAAATTTCTCAATTTTAAGAGATTGCTGCTAACAGAGTGCCTATCCAATTCACACATTCATATTCTAAAGAGTTAGACCCTATCAGCTATCACTTTTAAACTTTTTTACTAAAAAACCTACAAGGCAGAGATGTAACTGGCAAAGAGAAATTCGCCCTTGTTGGAAGCACCAATAAAAATCAGATCATTGCTGGACATTGCTGAATTCACGTATAGACTTCTATTTGCAGCTTACCCAGCCCATGCTACCTCTAAAAATACATTCCTACCGTCACAATGTAACATAGAAAACAGACCATGCATCATCAATAAATTCCATTTACTTCTTACAGCAAATAAATGGGTTGTCCTAAGATGTAAGTAAGGGAAAAAAATTCAGAATACATAATGCAAAAGATAAAAAGCTGTATTTCAAGAATGGTGTGGATTCAGTTCCAAAACTATTCCACTACTGTTCTGCTTTGTTACTACGGTATTTCTTGAAGATACGTGGCAGTTCATTGAAAAGTGCTGTGAGACAATTATGAATAGCACTAAATCCTTCTCCATAGTTAAAAGGCATTATTTTGTGTTTTTGTAGATCCAGGCATGGCAATAAAATGGAGAATGTGGCTCACCACATCCTGCTGCACCACTTTCACAGATTACCCTATAGACCCATTCAGCTTTCAGACTGTAAACAATTTTGCACCTATTTTACACATGACAAAGAAAAAACGTGTTTCATACAGGTCACAGGGAAATGTAATCAAACAAAAAACACAGCCATTTTTACCTGGAAACTGTCTTTCCTGACGTACCTTCTGCTTAAATTCTCTTTTCTGTTATTAATTAGTTTTCAAATACATTCAATTATTTATTTCTGCATCAAATCCAACGTTGTGTATAAAGAGAAAAAAATCAACAAGCAAAAGTCCTAGTCTTCCTCTGCACACTTCACCCCCCACACCTATCCAATCCATTCTCTCCTTTGCCAGATGTGCCACGAAGACAGTTAACAACTTAAGCACAGGGCTACACATTCTTACTTTACTCGCCACTCTTCAGCACAAGGTTGTAACCAAAGTTACGCTGTGCAGGCTGCTGTGTCTGCACGCAGGAGCAGACCAGAGCTGCTGCAGGGCCGTGCAACGTGCCCCAGAGCCTGGGACAGCCTTCATCACTGCACAGCTGTTGGACGTGTAGCTGCCACCGCAGCCTTCCACGCGCCTCTGGGTGCACACGCTCAGCCAGTATCCTCCACAATCTGCATCCTCTCCTGGATGTTCTGCTGCACCAGGCCCTGCCAGGGTAATAAGCTCAACGCACACACATCCCAGTACCTTAGGATACGGGTGCTCTGGGTTTTTACCTTTTCACTGGCCTCGGTGTAACAAAATATTGTGGGCACCGCATTTTCTTTCAGCAGCTTGTTGTTGCACTCCCTTTTAAAGCAATCGGGAGTAAAGTGTTCTGAGCAAATGCTGCTGTACTTGGTCGGCTTGAAGTTTTTCCTCTTCACAGCAGCCTCCCACTTCTTGCAAAGATCAGGCCTTGTAAGGGGAAACCTGCAAGGAAGAAGAAGAACGCTCAGCTTTCCCGGAGAGACTGCGAGCTCAGGGTCGGGCTGCAGCTGGGGCTGATCTCACCGCGGCTCCGCTTTCCCTCCGCGGGGCTCGGCTCGGGAGCCAAACTCGGCAACGCCCAGGGCCGGGGGGTCCC